AAGTGTCATTCTTTCAGGACCACAATTGAACGACAACACAGCGCAATCGCATGTGACGAATTTGAGTGGTGTTTTGGATAACTTGACCAAATTGCTTTGTATGCTCGTATCACAAAGTTTCATAGTTGCCATTCAGCCCGAACCGGTGCTCAAAACGCAGCATAAATTTATCGCAGAAGTACGCTTGCTAATCGGTGACAAATTGGGTATAAAGCAGCACTTAGTGAACACAAACGTTACGGTGAAAATAATCGCTGAAGAAGAGGCGCGCATGTTGAGTACAGCACAACTCACCGAGAAAGATATGTACGTTGTTCTACCTCGGTTCATTCTTTGAATCACTCTAATTCTCCAATATTCCATCAATTCAAATTAATTCGGCCGTACACCTGCCACTTGAAATTGCCTCAAGTATTTACATGTTTTCAAATTTACAGAAAGCCAGTCGGTTCGATCAGTAATGATTTTGAGAAGCTCACAACAGACGATAAAGGTCACATGTCAGCTAAATTCAATAATTCGGTGAGTGAAGTGAACAATTTCAGTTCTCTGAATTCTCCCAATCATTAGTGATTTCCAATCTTCTTCATTCCTATAATCTTGCTTAGTTTCGATGCTCTCTCTGTATTGAACAAAGCGTGACTATCAGTTCATGAATGGACATCGAGCAATCAGAACTCACCTGCAATTTACCGAACAAACCCTTGGTCACTGTCAAACACGTTGGCTCATTATAGCGAATGTATCGATTCAGACGATTAAGTAACGTTGCATTCATTCCTTTCCTTGATCGCATTTCAATATTGTCTCGAATCGTTCACGAATGCAAAGCTAAATTGCTCACGATCAGTCTTATCCAACACTGAGAAACCGAATTGCTATGATTGCCGCTGTCTGATTGCAACATGCGTTTATGATCGCTTTCACTTGATCGTTGTTTCTGATGTTAAGAAAATTGCTAGTGATACCTCGAGCAATCATTCGTCACTTGACATCGTATGATTCAGAAAGACTGAATTTTATTCGATAATAACCCGTCTGACTAGTTACCGATCATGCGGAATCATCCACTATAATGTTGTCATTCTCATAGGTGAGCGTACGCTACGCTAAGAATGTCGTAGTTCGTTTTTTGAGAATATTTTCTTCAGCTCATTGGCTTTAATCATTAGTCAACAGTTGAAATAAAAAAAGTTCCTCCCATTCAGCTTGATTAACGGAATTGTTTAAGAAGAAAGTTGAAAAAGACGCGATAATTGGGAACCGGAAGTGCTTTCAAATGCATTTTGTGCATTGTATTCATGTACATGCCATAAATATAAGCTGAGTAATGAATTCATTGAGCTAAATTATTTTGCTCACGCAGTTTTGCCGCTCCATTTGTCCAATACGATCCATTCTGGCTGCATCTGATAATGTGTTCGTGCAATTCTTTGTTCGATGATCTACCGTAATCGAATCCCATTCAGCACCTGAAAGAATGAATGATTTTGAGTTGTCGATTCGAAGTGCTTGTACAGAACCTTTTCATTTTTAGAAACTGACCCGTATCGCGCATCGTAAACCACCACCGAAAGGT